TCGATTTTTATTTCGGCTGTATTTAGCTGCTATAAACTTTTGACGTACGATGGTGTATGGTGCTACTTCTAATACTGTAGCGTCCGTTTACTTTTGGAATATCTAATTACTTTTTAACCATGACCTGTTAACTTTAAAATCATTTTGTTTAAGAAACATGTTTTTCTCACAACACTAAAACGTTTCCAAACAACAGATGTCATCACACCAGACGAAATTCTATTGCTACCATTCCCGCTGCACTAATGACGAATTAGTACATAGTTTGGTGTGCATTCCGCAGTTTTTCTCCTTCGTTCCGTTCTGAAACCATTTCCAAAACACAAATATCGGTTTCGGCCGATTGCCAAAGCAAAAGAGTTATAAATAGTTGCACTCCTTCGAAGCCAGGCCCTCCCGTCTGTCCATGCATCATACAAACATTCGAACAGCTCTATGACTTGGAGTTGCGCAAAATGTTTTTATGTGTCGCTGGAAGTTTTTCTTCTCTCTTCCCCTCTGTTGAATGTGGTTTCGATGGCTGAGTGTAATGAAGGGGGCGAGAGATGGCTGGGATTCAGAGTGAAGCACTCTCTACATATGCACCCACTTCCAATTCGCCTTCTGCGGATGCTGTGTGTACTATGCTACTCCCGGTGCACCTCGCCATACTTGCACACTTCCACCATAAGGCTGACATAAATGTGTTGCGAAGTAAATAAAAATAAAAATAAAAACCACGAGTACCGCAAAGTGCTCCCGTTCCATTGCTGGTTGCCGACGGAGTTGCTGTTGTTGTTCTTTGGCTTCGAATTGTGCGACGCATTTCAAATGAATTTTTGAGCAAACAAATTTGATCTGGGACCATTGTTGGACACAAATTTCAGCAACGTATACAGACATCACAGTGTTTCGCTCTCTTGAGTGGGGTGGGTGGATTTTGAATTCCTCATAAAGCCATGGGTTTACACAATGTTCGTGATTTTGTCTCTGCCAAATGTAGGTGTTTTCAAGATCGTTGACGAGGGGTTCTTATATGGTTGTATTATTTGTAGGATTGAAAAAAAAACACAAATCCAATTGACTAGTTTGAGGCTTGTGTAAAAAGTTAGTGAATTTTTTATGAAACGTTAAATGTTAAACGTTAAAAAATGCTATTTCTTGAAGAAATATGATTTAAATGACCTGGAATTTCGCTAGATTAACAAAATGTTTCAGTATTGGATTCTAACCCATTTCAGTAGGTTAATAAGTATACCTTATTAAAAACTTCTATACAAAAGAGTGAAAACGTTTCGTGAGAAAACTCAACGTGAATGTAAATATTTAACTGTGTTTTATACATCATCAACAAACATAGGACTGTTTTCCAGTAGGCAGAATACAAATCATAGGTATTTTATAAATAACAATGATTGAAAGTATTCGCCGAATCTGAAATTTAAAATTCTCTTACAACATCAATCCAAGGTAATCTTATGAAGTAAGCTTATATCCATTAACACATTGGAACTAAAAAAAGTCATGCGAATTTTTTTATCGTAATATTTGAATCTGGATAAAGTTGGACGACACATTCTCCTTGACGTTACTACGGTTTTGACCCAATTTTTTGTCAGTGTTTGCACTGTAGCTGAATTTTTTTTTAAAAGCATCTCCCAAACATAACTGCAGATTTGTAAAGTGCGTCCAAGTTCCTAAAATAATAGATCAAGAGTTTCAGATTTGAGTAACTCAACACGTTTTGGTGAGTAGTGGTTTTTGAGCAGTTGTAGTTCACAGGGTGGCCAGCAAACCGGGAAAACCGGGAATACCGGGAAATATCCGGGAATTTGAAAAACAACCGGGAAAACCGGGAAAAACCCAGGAATTTGACGAGAGAACCGGGAAAAATAAATTAACCATACCATTTTTTACACCAGAATTTCAGAATAAACCATTAAAACAGAGTGATCCTTTACCAAATGAATGTCTTGCTCTATTTGCTGCATAATTTTCTTCAGTTTCCCGTCTTATTGTTTTGAAAATTTAATCACTCAGCAATATTGCTAATTGATTTTTGTCGTTTCAATTTCAGATTTAAAGTGCATGGTGCTTAAAAGAAAATATTGAAGATGCTGGACTTTGGAAACAAATATTTGTAAAAGCCGAAATTGAATTATTCTTCTCCGGGGTTTTAATTTTTCGTTTTTCAAAATTCTCATGATATGAATTGCTTAATAAACTTGGAATTCTGCTTTGATTATCATGGAATTCTTCTGAAATTAACCAGAAAACACACCGCGTAATAATTACCGTTGAATTATTTTTGGAATGTACTGGAAACCCCTTCTAAGAATTTAATTGGAATCCTTCTTAGAATTCCCTTGAACCTACCTCCAAGGATTCCTTTGAAAACCTTTTCAAAAATTTCTTTAAACTCTATTCAAAACAGCAGAAATCTTTCGAAATGTTATTTAGAAACGCTTTGAAGTATTTTAAAGATTTTTTTTAAGATAAATCTTTCGGACTAGGGTTGAAATTATTGCCAGAACACTCTTAGAACTCAGTTTCTTGTTGAATTCTGATGATAATTCTCTTGGAATTCTTTAAATTCATCTGTCATTTTCCTATCGATTTAAAATTTTGTTTTTCACAACTCCTTGTGAAATCTTCTAAATTTACCTAAAAATTTAATTTAGAACTTGCATTCTTCTCCACAAAAATCCCTCCAAATTCATCTAACAATTTCTAAGGACTCTAATTCTGGACTTCTGCTCAGATCTTCTCCTTCGAAAACTGTGTGAGAATCCTTCTTAATATTTGTTCGAAATCAACACTTTGAATTCTTTTAAATTTTACTAAAAATTCCAAGCTTTGTCCGCAAGATTCTATAGATTGTTCTGTAATTTGTTACAACCCTTAAAATGCTTCCAAGTCTCAGAGCGTGACAATTATGACTCCACGACTCATACGTATTTTTTTTTCAAATCTATGATCTTGAAATTGTTTCAAAATCTCACATTCTAATTATTTTTTCTCCAAATCTTGCATCACCAAGATTGTTATTAATCACAAATGTTGTAGAAAAATTCTAGTTTCAGACTCTACACAAATTTCAAAGCCCCAGAATCTTGGGAATCTCCATAATGCTATTACAGTAAATTCCTTTCAGCTTTTTGTTGAATATTAATAACCGGGAAATTTTTAAGATTTAAACCGGGAAAACCGGGAAAAAACCGGGAATTTCAAAATGAAAATTTGCTGGTCACCCTGAGTTCAGTAATAGTAGCAATAAAGCAAATTATTGTAACGTCACGCAGCATAAGCGCTCACCAAATCGTTTTAACTTCTCAAATCAGAAACTATTTATCAAATCTAATTGGACATTTTTAGAGGTTAATTTTAATTTTTAAGCTACAGTACAAAATCTATTGAAAAACCAGGCAACACATGTAGAATGTGCCGTTTGCTTTCACCAGCTTTGTTTCACCATCTCGGCGATTTTTGCCGAGATTTGCACAGCTTAGCTACTGGCAATCACATTTTACTGAGATCTCAGCATAAATGGCGTTTGATTGCTGAGATCTCAGGTAAATTGCGGCTGTGCAAAAACAGAATACAAATTACCGAGATAGTGAAAACAAAGCTAAGTGTGTGTTTAAGGGGAAGCAGACCGCTCCGAAAAAAAAAAATTACGTTTTGATTTTTCTAAAAATATTGAAAAAAAGTATCAAAAATCTAAAAAAAATCACATTTTTTCTAATTTTTTAAAGAAAATTCACGTGCAAAAACAAGTTTTATAAGTCATTATGGCATAAAGTTGGACTCAAAAAACCACAAAACATCAACTTTTCGGTTTTTCTGAGAGTCCAATTTTTTTTCATGATGGGATAGAAAAATTTTTTTTGCATGTAATTTTTGACAAAAATCTAAGGAAGAAACTGATTTTCTTGGATTTTTGATAATTTTTCCCAATATTTTTAGAAAAATAAAAACGTACCGAAAATATTTTTTTATTTTTGGGCCGGTGAGCTTCCCCTTAAGGGGAAGTTTACCGGTCTGAAAAAGATAATTACTAAAAAATCTAAAAAAATCACATTTTTCCTAATTTTTAAAAAAATTGATAAGACATCAGGGCAATAGGTTGGACTCAAAAAATCATAAGATTAACCTTTCTGTTTTGCTGAAGGTCCAATTTTTTTCATGATGAGATAAAAAAAAAGTTTACATGTAAATTTTCTCAGGAATCTATAAAAAAAAACTGGTTTTGTTAGATTTTTGATAATTTTGCCCAATATTTTAAGAAAATTTAAAACGTGTCAAATTTATTTTTTTTTATTTTCGGGCCGTAAACTTCTTTTAATGGGAAGCTTACCGCTTCGAAAAAAAAAAAGTTTTGATGTTTCTAAAAATATTGGAAGAAATATTGAAAATCTAAAAGAATCAGTTTTTTCTCCGGTTTTGAAGAAAATTTACGTGTAAAAGGAGAAAAAACTGATGCCCCCATTATAATAACACGGTGTGGAATAAAGAGCAATTTTGCGATACATTCCCAACATCCATTAATCCATAGATGTAGTCTGTCATGATTTGGTGCAGTTATAAAAAAAACTATCACAACAGAAACCTTTAAAGCAGAACTTTGAACTCTTCTAATGTCTTTCTCGATCTCTATCAGATTATGGTCCTGGATTGTATATTATATTCTAAGTATGAATCAATTGCCATAATATAACAGATACTATTCCGACTGAGTATGGTGTTTTTCAAAGACCCCTTGGTGCTAAAAATCGGACATCGTTTACACGTAATAAACAATGCTAGTTCGTCGTGATTTGACGGTTGATGTGTATTCAAGAAACGAAAAGAGTGTGGAGATGGAAAAGAACTCAGCGGAGCGTGCAGCGTGTATCCATTCCGCACCCGGCCGATATCACATGTGGATCAACGCACGCGACCAGTTCAATGGGATTTGATGTGCGTTTGTCTAGTTTAGGAGTGCATAAATTAAGCGTTTATTTTCTTTCTCTCCCTTCCAGCAGTAAAATGCAGTGCTGCCCCGAACGTGTTGGACGTGCATAACTTAGCGTGTCAATTTATTTTACAACTATAGCAAATGTGATTCAGGAGACAAACGGTCGGGCCTCAGAAAATCCGCGATCCGTGTGAGACAGAGAGAAAGAGCAGACAGCGGGTCTAATCTAAACAATCTCTAATGGACTAGGCCTATGCAGCTGCTCTCTGCTCGGAAGACAGAGCATACATATGAACGCCTCCGGTCAAGTGTGACTGTTTTCGCGTGAGTGTTTGCGTTAGCGTTAGTGTCCATGCACAACAACGAGATGCATTACACCTGGTGACAGCTGTGACATCTACTTGGCGTACTTGGCGTACGGACAAGACTTTTCGTTCAACCTTCTTCAGCAGCGTAAAGTAACAAATAAAAGTTGTTTGGCGAAACTAATAAATGCAACAACATGACCGCGAGTGGTGAATCTGCACGTCTTAAAGGATTGCCTTTGATGTATTTGTACGTGTGTAAAGGCGTGATTAAAGTATTAATTTGAACATTTAGTTTTTTCTAAGCATCCAAATTATACTCGCTGCGTTCGAAAAAAAAGGCTGTGCACCATAGACGCCAAGAAGATATTGAAATCAATCCTAGTGCGATGTGAGCGTAGAGTTGAATGAAGTGTGTTTCCAAAGTGCTTTCAAGTGTGTAAACAAACAAGCGGATCGTGAGCTAAGCCGTAAAGATCATCAGCAGCAAAAGAAGAACCTGTTGATTGGAGGGCAAATGCCCCACTCACTACCAGTGAAGCTGCTGGTGTTGTTCGGCAGTATAGTTTAGAAGAAAATTTCGAATAGTGGTTCACTAGTTGCTCCCAGCTCATCAAAAGTTTCTCTCCAGTTCTATTAATTTATGGGAAAGGCGTGCTAAAGTGGCAGAAATTAGGAAACAGCAGAAAAGATGTTGGGAGCACTCAAGCGTCGATGGAGGACCACGCGAAGGTTGGTGATCTCTCTCTACTCTCGGGTTTTGTTGCTTTTGTCGATGCAAGATATTATAATAAGCCATAACACTTGACCAACGAAGAATTTTGCAATGATCAGCCAGAGCTCTGGACTTTGTCTTGTCTGAGTGCATACTTTGGGTTAATAAAATTCCATCACTTTTTTCATTGTAATAAGTAAGAGCTTAGTGCGTTTGATGTTGGATTTCAAGAGACTCGTACTAACCCATTTGGATTGATTTTTCAGGAGTTGGCACCAGTGGAGTTGCTTTACCATTATCATGCTATTTTTTAATCCGCAAATATTGCATAGTACTTTTATGATTATTGATATACACTCAATTCTGCATCCACCCGATTTTTTTAATTTTTTTTTGTCCTCGTGTAGGATGAGCACATTAATTTCAATACGACTTTATTTACTTTGATTTTTCATAGTTTTTTTTTTTAATTTTCTTCAATGCTAATTAGTATACTCTCATTTTATAAAGCCGTATTTTTGATCGTGTGATTTAAAACTTCAACAAAATGAATGCAACTTTAAATTTTGTTGCAGTTCAAAATAACACGATCAAAAATACGGCAGATTAAAAAGAGTGTATATTATTTTTATCCTTGATTTGTAATAAAAGATGGTATGCTAATCAGCAACGGAGAAAATTTCTTCTGAAATACACCCAATTTTTTTTTTATGTGGTCTTATTTTCATTTTGTTCGATACTCCAACGAAACCAAGCTTAATGAAACTGGTGTCAGAAGAAAACAATCAAAGAAAAAAATGACGCCAACACACAATTTCAACCTTCACATTAAAAAAATGTTGGGTGTACTTTATGCAAACATTCGCGAAAATGCACATTTTCATAAAGAAATAAAGCATGAGCATGAGCATGATTGACTGCCCACGATTGCTACTCTGTTATTGCCAGACCAGCTGTAATTACACAGAGAACCAATAGACGATGCTTGGGACTAGCAATCATCCTCAATGTGTAAAAACTAGTGATCTCGAATTAGGCAATACCAGCTCCAGCCGCGCCTGAACGCAGGTCAAGAAAGGAATGGGTAGGAATGTGTTGACGTGACACTCGCTTTGATGGAAGCCGAGGAGTCCTCTGCACTTCCACGAGGAATCACAGGGACGTTGGGTAAGAGGGTAGGGTTTGCAGCAGGGTTCGTTTTGGTAAACGATAAGCTGAATTGATGTCCTAACGATCGTATAACGCGAAAGAGCTTGGGATTGAACCCACGGTCTTCTGCTCAGGAAACAAAAACGTTTGCCACTAGGCAGACGAGCTCCTTTTTAATCATTGGCGAATCTCATATCGCATTATAGCGTTACTCAAGTTTTTATAACTATCAAAAAAAAAAAAAAAATAATATATATATAACTATTCAAACCCGGCACGATAAACAAGCGATCTTACCCGACACGATAAACAAGCGATCTTACCATGCATTTTTAATATGAAAGGATCTGGGACCGCGTTTTTCTCCCCAGTAAGCAAGCCAGTGCAACCGACGATCTTTGAAATCCTAAAACTAAAAGCTACGAAAGAGTACTTAGGCCTTCATTAAGATCCACTTTCACGCGACGTTCAATGTTTCGATTTTCTCTTTACGCATGGTTCAGACAATCATAACAAGCTATGACCGACGTGACGATTGTTTAAGACCTGGTTAAACAAGCTATTCAAATGAAATTACGTTCTCGAATTTCACTTGGAACGTAATGAACAACAGAAATACGCAATAATTTATATTTTCAGCGGTTGATGTTTAATTTTAAATATACTAACGGTACTGCCTATGACTACGACGGCGATTACGACAGCGACTACGACGGCGCCTACGACAACGACAACAGAGAATTTGTAACTTACCATTTGTCTAGGATAAACACCTTTGCCCGGCACCTCCACTGGTTCTTCATTCGTAATGAAATAAAATCCAAAAAATCATTCGATCGTGAAGATTTGCTTGGTAAACCATTTTATTAATTTTTCACCTGCATTAAAAAAAAATATATACAGTAAACCATTACATCTCCTTCTGACATATGTAATTATTTCTTACACAACAAAATGTTTGTCTTAAATTCCTGGGCATCGAAAATATGTGTTTTTGTCATTTGGTAATCAATGTAATTACTGTAGAAACTGCATACCGTACACCTAACTAGGTAATGCAAGATTCAATTAGGGAAGATCCATGCGTAATACATGTCATGTTTTCCTACAACTTTGTCTCGGATGGCATTCCGATTACATGTGATTTTTACTAGTTACGATTTAATGAAAAATTCCAAATACCTCCTATGTCATTTTGAATTTTTTACCTGAATCGCCGAATGTTAGCACAAATTTATATGATTGCCCTTAACCTCGCCCTTAACAAACAATTAAGCAAGTTAATACAAATCGGAGAAGGTCGCATCTGCAAGATTCGTCATTTGGTGTTGAACTGCTCAAATGCTAAAAAATAAATACAAAAAGCAAGCATACATTTTTGTGCGTTTTAAAAGAATTTTGCCGACTTATTTAAAAAAATACATTTAATTTGCCATAGAATAATAACACAAAAACCAACATAATCCAATTTCCATCTCCATTGTACATGATGCTCTTTCCTTCTGAAAGTTTATTCTCCAAGAAGCACGGAAAGTAGGTCGGACAAACGACGCCAAATTTTGCGGTTTTCCTCTGGCGATGGTGACGGCGATTACGTCGCGGCGTCCAACAACACGGCATGACCGGCTAGAAGGAACAGCACTTGGATTGCGTCTCTGAGTTGCATTTTTGTCTAGCGTAGATAGGTCTATAGGTATAGAAGTGAAATACATACATCTTGTGTTGTTCTGCTGGATCGGGGCAGGAGCAAAGAATGTCCGAGCACCGGAAAATCATCATTACTATTTTCCACTCTATTTATTTTGTCGCTATAAATAAAATCATGGTAGGAGCCATGAGTTGGAAGTGTTTGAATGGTTCATGGTGGCAAAAATGTGCCACTCAGAACAGGATACCATTACAAAAGGATTTACGAAACAGAACAATAGAAGACTTGGCACAAGAAAAGTAAAGCTTCGATGCGCCGCGACGACGTTGGGTGCTAGAAATGAGCATGTTTGTACGGATAGAGTGATCCTTATTGCGGTTTTCCCACAGTCGATGTAAGAGCATGCGGCGCCATAGGAATCTCATCAACAATGGTGCTGGGAGAAATCATGTTTCCGAGCAGCTGGATTCAAATCACTTCCCATTTTTGCCATTTCTGGAATTCCGATAAGAATTTTTCCGTCTCGTCTGCTTAGTCGTTTACTTTATGCTAATTGTGGTCGTTGCACTATTAATATGCACCAAGACTATTAAAGTCGCATTAACTATAAGCTTGAAGCCTGTTTTTCTGGTCAGTACCGCAAATCGTCTGCAAGACGCTGCTGTTTGTATAGGAAGCGAAGGAAGCATGCAAAAACGTCGACTAGGAGGCGTGAAACAGCTGGAGAGAGTCAGCTCGATTTATCCTTTTACGTACATAATGTTCTGCTGATAGCTCATGTGGAAAAATTAAATTGGAAAATCTTTATATTTACTACACCCCAGTCAAGGGGGAGTTGGCTCGCATAAACCCGGGCGATCAATCACGTTGATTAATTGCATCTTAAAGACGGGTTGAAACTGTTGGTTTAACAGGCTCCCCATTAGCGACTATGTTTCCGTTTCTGTTTGCACAGGGAAGTTAGTAAGTTTTATTTTCAAACACAAGTAAGTTAGCAGACAAAGTATTCAATGTGCCAATTACTCGCATTGATGTACCATTGATCATTCATCAACAAGAGTGATTCAAAACTCGTTAACTAGTATTCACAGATTTGGTTAATTTTTTATTAACTAAATTGAGCGGTAAATATGTAGATGCAGGGTATGTCAGGTCAAACGGCTTTATATTTTCCGATGTATTTTGTCGATAGCAAGAACATACACTGAAGTCTTTTTTTACGTGGTTTTTTTTACGCGGTTTTTTTTACACGGTTTTTTACACGGTTTTCCACGATTTACACGGTACGTTTTTAACGATTTCTCGACAACGATACAACCTATCGACTTGATTCCAATCACTTTATCCGTTTCAAGCTATTTGTAATCGAATGGTATACTTAAAAAAATCACAATTTTTGGTGTAAATACAGACATTTTTAAAATATGTCTATATGAACCATATCATGCTTTCATTACAAATGGCAACATTAGATCATTAGTTGTGACAACGACAACCGGTGGAAATTATTCATATATTTTTGTATTTGTTTGATTACATCCTTCCGGTCCAGACTGATTCGACTTTTATTACAATTCGTATGGCGTTCAGATTAACGCTGAAATTATTTAATGGCTTTCTTGGTTGTATACTGAGCACCTCAAGTGGTCCATAGAGCCAACGTGAAAGATTTCCATCGCCCATGCGTCTGATTGGAATTCCCTTCAAACTTTCACCATCTACTTTTTTTTTAATTCACTCTACAGTTTTGTTGGTATTCTCATGAAACATCGCACATCAGTTTATTCTTTGTATAAAATTCTCTTGTTACAGTTGTTCATTACAGTTCATTTGGTAATTTCTTTAGATTTACCTATAAGCATTTTTCAAAAACCTTTGGAAATTCACCTCCGACCTGCTATTGAAATTTTCTAATAATTTTCTTGAAGCTTGCCTCAGAACTTTGTTGTAGTGGTGGTGGTGGTTGTGGTTCTGAATATGGACAAACAGGCAGATACATACTATTCTAACTTTTTATTGTAATAAGTTTGTTGGCCCTGAAAAGGGCCGTTTTGTTGCCAAAGTTGGTGATGCTTTAACCTCCGAAACTGTACAGAGTTCGTCTGTTGCTTCAAAACGTAGACGACATCGATAGCCGCTTACGCATGGCGTGTTCAGTGTAGGTGACAGCATCACGGATCACATTTTCCAAGAACACCTTCAGCACACCTCGTGTTTTCT